ATGACACAAGTTTAGGGCTAAAATCCATTTCATATAATTATGTAATAATAGATTTTAAAACTCATTTGATCCAACTATCATCTTTCTCCTTTTTGTCTTTCTACAACATTGCCTTCTGATTTTTGTACCTTTATTTCCTCATTTTTTACAGTTGGACAAATATATGATTAACTAATTAGTTGATATTTTGCCTTTTCATTACTCCTTGGTTTAAGTAAGTATATGGGCTTAGAAATGGAGATAATTGCATAATTCAGTGTTTATGACTTTTTAAAATAGCAAATTTAGATTTACTGTTTGAGAAATTTTTTGTTTTGTTTTGTAAAACTGGACTGTATGCATGTTTTAATTAATTAGATTTCTGGTAGATGGAGAGCTCCGTGTTAATACAGATTTTTTAAAAAAATTTATATTGTAATTTGGGTAAAAGTTTACAGAGCAAATTCATTTTCCATACAGCAGTTCATGTACATTTTGTTTCATGGCATTGGCTGCAATTCCCCACAGTGTAACAGCTCCCTTCCCACTTCCTCCCTGTAGTTAGTTACCTCTTCCCAGTGTCCTTCCCTCCCATGCACTCCTGCCCCCTCCCCAGATGTCTCTCTGTAAACACTACGCTTCTGTTCTCCCATGACTGATCGATCCGAGGAGTGTATCTACTTGATGTAAATGTTCACCCCCTACACCTATCTGTTTCTTAGCTGGAAGCCATAGGAGTAAGTTCAGTTCTAGACTTGAATAGTAACTAGGGGCTATAGTCTCAGAAGTCTCACCAGACTCTATCCGACCAGCAAACCTGGTCTTTTTTTCAGTGAGTTTGAGTTTTGTTCCACATTGTTCTTCCACTCTATCCAGGATCTCCTGCACTGATCCCCCCCTGAGTGGTTGACAGTGGGCAACCACTGGACACTATTTAGTTGGGCACCATTTAGTTCCTCTGGTCTTATGGTCATATAGGCTGAGGATCACTTGGTCTACTAATCCCTTGGACTAATTGTTTCCATGTGTCTTTGCTTTTCTTCATTCTCCTTTGCTCTGGATAATATAGATATTTTA